GGGGCATGATAGTGGCTAAATTTGAGCGACGAAAAGACAGGAATATGGTGTTAAGTGCTGCAATTCAAAAACTGAAAAACAAAAAGCAATTTGTTGTGCATGAACAGTATCCCATTGAAATCATTGAGCGGAGAAGAGAACTAGTTCCCATACTGAAGGATGCCCGAACTAAAGGACACGAGGCAGTTCTAAAGGAAGACCGATTGTATATAGACAAAAAACGCTTCTTTCCTAGGACATCTAGTCAACATCCTCCTCCTCCTGTAGCAATGGATCATGGTAATGGTGAATAAGACAGATGTACAAGAGGACAGAGTATTGACACTGAGAACAAAGACTCTCATAAAAACAATAAATGTGTAAATAATGATCTTAATATATTTTTCTTAAATGTGTGTGGACTAAAATCTAAGTTGAAATTTAAAGAATTTACAGATAATATACAAAACTATGATATTTCAATATTTGTAGAAAGCAAACTTGATAATCTAGATGTGTTAGATGTTCCAAAAGATTATACATATGTAACAAAAAATAGAAAAAAAATGTGTAAAAAATCAGGTGGTATAGCAGTTATTTACAAGAAAAGCTTAAAAACGAGTTTAGCATTTATAACGAGTGAAAGTCAATTTGTACAGTGGATGAAAGTATCAAAAAGCATTTTTGGTTTGCAAAATGATGTAATTGTAGGTTGTATTTATATACCACCTGAAGGTTCGAAATATTCAAATCTAGAAGCTTTTGATGAAATCGAGAATGAATTAATGTCTTTTAAGAAAGTATCAGATGTACACACGGCTCTTATTGGCGATTTTAATGCAAAGACAGGTATTTTGAATGATTTTGTATTAGCTGATGAAACTCTTTTAGATCTTTTTCACTTAGACACTGACAACGAAATTATTTCATATATGTTAGATTATGAAAATCTTAAGTCTTATAATATTCCATTACAAAGAGTGACACAGTGTAGTTGTCAACCTAATACTTATGGGTATAAATTACTTAATTGCTGTAAAAAATTGAATATGTATATTGCTAATTCCCGTATTGGTGTAGATAAAGGTGTTGGTAAAACTACTTGTAAAAATACAAGTGTAGTAGATTATTTACTGTTATCGTCAAAGCTTTTTACACTAGTCAAAAAATTTGAAATACAAGAGTTTGATCCATTGTTATCTGATGTGCACAGCGCAATACACATTACATTAAAGTCACAAAGTACGTCACATGAAAACAACTCTGTTACGTCAGACAATACATCAAAAACAAGGTGGCAAGATAACAAACGAAACCAGTTTGTCAATACAGTTCATAATAAAAAAGAACAGTTATCGGCAATACTAAACGACCTTCACAATTTACACTCGAGTGATCATTGTACTCAACACGAAATTGACACTGTCGTTGATAACATTGGCGAAATACTCGTATCATCTGCGAGCGAAACATTTGTTAAAAATCCTCGCACTACAACTCAAAGAACTAACAAGAAACCATGGTATACTAAAAAATGTTACGATGCTAGAAAAAAATTTCACAAAGCAAGAAAACAATACAATTTACACAAAAATGAAACAAATCATAAAAAATTACTTGACTTTAGCAAAAAATATAAGCAGATAACCAATAAAGCTTACAATGACTATCAGTTTAATCTTGAGAGCAAGATTAGAAATACGTCAAAAACCAATGGCAAGGAATTCTGGAAAATCTTGAATAAATTTAATAAAAAGGGCAACGATGATCCAAACATTATATCTATGGAATCTTTGTACAATTATTTTAAGGACTTAAATATGAATGATATGGATGAATGTAGTAATGATATAGATGTAAACCTTTTTGATATATCACCAGAATTAAATGAATTATTGAATGATCCTATAACTGTTAATGAAATAATAAATGTTGTAAAGAAGTTAAAAAATGGCAAATCTGCCGGACAAGACGGTATACTAAATGAATATATTAAAACTACATTAGATGATATGATGCCTATATATATTTTGCTATTTAATATCATATTGGACACGGGTCTTATACCTGAGAGCTGGGGTATGGGAATTATGATTCCTATTTTCAAAAATAAAGGATCTAAATTAGATCCTAGTGCATACAGGGGTATAACTCTTAACTCCTGCCTTAGTAAAACATTTACTGCCGTATTAAATTGTAGATTAAACACATTATCAGAGGAAATTGAATTAATTTCTGAGGCCCAAGCAGGGTTTAGAAAAGGCTTCTCAACTGTAGACAATATATTCATTTTACATGCCCTTATATCATTATATTTTTCTGCTGGAAAAAAACTGTTTTGTTCGTTTGTAGATTTTAAAAGTGCTTTTGATACAGTCTGGCGAATGGGACTGTGGCAAAAATTACAGAAATCAAATATTCAGGGTAAAATTTTTAAAGTTATATATAATATGTATCAAAATATTAAAACATGTATAAGGAAAGGAGACGAAGTTTCAGCGTTTTTCAGTTGTGATGTAGGAGTAAAACAGGGAGAGAATTTGTCTCCTTTCCTCTTCTCTTTATTTTTAAATGACCTTGAAAGTTTCTTGTTAGACAACAATGTCGATTGTCTACAAAAGGTCTATGCAAAATGTGAAGAAGAATTGTCTTGTTTCCTTAAACTCCTAATTATCTTGTATGCAGACGATACTGTACTACTGTCTGAAACAGAAGAAGGTCTTCAACAGGCTTTGGTAACTTTTGAACAATATTGTAATTTATGGAAACTTCGTATTAATACAAACAAGACAAAAATTGTAATATTTAGTAAGAGAAAATTTAAACCAAAAATTGTATTTAACATTTATGGTGAAAATATTGATGTACAAGATTCATATTCATATCTTGGTGTTATGTTCAATTATAATGGTAGTTTTTGTACTGCAAAAAAGAAATTATTGGATCAGGCAAATAAAGCATTGTATGCCTTATTGCAGAAAACAAGAAATATGTCAATTCCATTAGATTTGCAATTAAAATTGTTTGATTCACTTATTACTCCAATTCTTGTCTACTCAAGTGAAGTATGGGGATTTGAAAATAAACAGGGTATAGAAAAAATACACTTGCAATTTTGTAAGAGAATTCTCAATTTAAGAAACAATACTCCTAGCTATATGGTATATGGAGAACTCGGACGTTCTCCAATGGAAGTTGTCATTAAATTGAGAATGGCTTTATTTTGGAACAACCTTTTATCCAGTAGTAACAAAATATCTAGTATTTTGTATAGACTTATGTTTAAACTTCACGAGAGTAACCAAGGACATTTTAAATGGGTTGCTTATGTTAAATCTATTTTTGATGAAACAGGGCTTAGTTTTATATGGAATGATCAAATGCATATGGATAACATTGTTCTCAAGTCTATTCTAAAACAGAACTTGACTGATCAATTTATTCAAAACTGGTTTTCGCAAATAAATAACTCATCTAGGGGGGAATTTTATGGTCTTTTTAAACATGAATTTAAACTTGAACCGTATCTACTTAGATTGGCTCTATCCGATAGAATATATATGTGTAAATTGAGATGTTCAAATTTAAAATTTCCCATAGAGACAGGAAGATGGGCAAAGATCCCTAAACACAATAGAATATGTCATTTATGTAAAAATAACATTGGTAATGAATATCATTATATGTTTACTTGTACATATCCACAAATCGTGGATCTGCGCAAAAAATTTATTCCACCTTATTACAATACAAATCCATCAGAGATCAAGATGATTGGAATGCTGTCAAATTGCAATGTAAAGTTACATCGTAATATTTGCAGATATATCAAAAACATTATCAAGTATTTATAATTATTCAGTTATTAATACCTATTTAAATACTCACAAATTCATGACATTGTGTTAAATCCAAATGACAGATATACTTTAAACTGACTGTATTGTATACAAATGAAAGTGCCACGAGAATCACGTGATTGTTAAATGTGTGTTAGCTCCTGTTGTCGTACATGTAATGTTTTTCATAATTGTATTATAATTACTGTATAGATATTTCGTTTATTTATGTATGTATGTATGTATATTGACCTCTTGTACACTGTTGTGTCTGAGGATAATAAAACTTTGAATCTTTGAATCTTTGAAATAGAAATAAACTAATCCCCTACTCCATTATTGCAAAGATCACAATCATATTAATTTTTTTCGTTTCCAGATTTTATATCTTCTTACGTAGTTATGCAGTTGATGCAAAATTTGGAAAAAAATTTTAAAGAACACTTTTCAGACAATAAATTGAAGTACCAGATTTCTGAAATGTAATAACATTAAACGGTACCAAGTTAACTGCTCCAGATGCGCATTTCGACAAATAAGTCTTGTGAGTGAAGCTTGAAGGCAAAATATGTTTAAAATCAAAAACTTTTAAAAAAAGTTGTGAAGAGCACATATAACCGAAAGATGAGTGATATATTTCTAAATTTCTAAGATTTGAAGTCTTATCACTGCAAATTAGTCAAAACTGTTATGATGGTCACCTTTATTAAGCGAACACCTGTCTTGGCAGGTAACCCTCTTCATAATCCATTATAGTAACACCTAAGCATTTTGAACCTCAATTCAAAGATCACCTTTCTCTTAAAACTAAACTGATAAGATGTACTTTTCATTTAAATTTCATTGCTTTTCATTATACTAAAGTAAGATTATTCTCCTTTTGAAAATTGGTACTTTTGACAAATTTGCACCTTTTATAATTTCTTAACGTATGTAAATTATTTTCAATTATAATCACTTATCGTTTAAAAGAAATATATATCAGCATGCGAGGTGGGCGAAGGACCAAAACCAGAGAACAACAAAATAATTGATGTTTCATTTTTGACTAACTACACATATGAGCCAAAACCTCAACACAACAAATTCTTTAATTTTAACAGGGCCCTTGTTTTTATGCTACACTTGAGTTGTTAATATAACGTGGGCCTTTGCGGTCAAAGGGTTTGGCCGTCTTTTGTGGGTTTTTTTTCGTGTTGGCTGTGAAAGAGTATTTGTTCTATGCAATATTTGGGATTATTGGAGGGTCAGAATCAGCATAAGAGATGATATAGCAGATACATACGTTACGTGAGGCAAGATCGGTTAAACAAACTGAGTAAATTAAATGATCATTATGATTTACAATTGATCTACGTACAATATACGCCAATCATATTGTCGAGATCGCTAAAAAGCATACACAATGTAAATTTCACCAATTTTAAACAAAGCCAAAAAAAATCAATTATGTAAAGGTCCACGAAAATAAAAATCTGATTATGAATAAGGACTTTGATATGGATTTTCTACAGGATAAATCTGTGTTTTCTTTGATGGTACCATTCCTACACTTTCATATTCTGTTTCTGGTATAGATTTGGTATTTCTAGGTAATACACTGTTGATAGGGTCGCTGTATGTTACAGCTAATGAATAGTCAGAGCAGCTAGGTTTTGTGACATCAGTGCTTTTGTACATATGGTCTGAAATGTCCTCCATAGGATTATCATACTCAGTGTCGTAGTCTTTAATAACTGATTCAAGGTACTTCAATTTTCTTTTTTTCACACTGAAAAAGTCAAATTACAAAGTTTAAAAACATATAAAATATCATACACCTTCGTAAAATAAGATACAAATAAAATGCTAATATAGTGTTCTCGAGTCTATCACTTAGCCTTGAAAAATTGTGGTGGGTTTTTAGTTTAAGAAGAACATTTTCTTCATGTTCTTTATTGTTTAAAAACAATGTTTAATAATAATAGTCAATTCATTTCATTATCAATTTTGTCTTACCATGTCGACATACCTGACATAACTAGTTTCCGATTGTATTCATTCACATAACATGTACTCGATGCATTTAAAAAAAAAACTTCAATATACACTACTTTATATCTTTCCTTCTTTCTTATAAATTTTAAAGGGTATATTAAGTGAAATTTTGTTCTGAATTGGGAACCATATACTGGTTAGTCGGACAATATGCCGTTACTTACATGTATCAAAAATTTAAGAATATCCAAATTAGAACAATCACCATGCATTTGTTACTACAACCTGAATAATGAAACACACAAGCCCAGTGATTCACTGTGCTAAATCTTATTTTGAGTTGTCATGTAGCACACAACTATCAAACCAAAGTTAGAAAAAGTAAACGCCATGCCAAACCAAAGTGTTATGTTCTGATGAATCACTGAGGTTACTGAACAAGTTGGTATATGATTGAATAGAAAGGGTAAAGTTTGCAAATACATTAAAACAGTATAACTACGAACACACGAAGAAACTAAAGCAAAATAACAACGCTTTTCGTTGTTATTCTTCATCTGAAAAGTCACAATTAGGCCTTCCGCATTGAATAAAACATTCTCACCGTATTCCAAGTTCCAGACCGACCCCTAGCACTGGTTTGATGGGAACTGTTTGCTATATGTCGATCACGCTACAGCTGTGCACTGATGAATATGGATGCTGGGTAATATCAACAAATCAATAATTAAATCTGACAAAGAAATCTAACAAAAACTGTCAAAATTTGCCAGAAAATCTCACAATGCAACCATTTAGAAATCCCCTGGACATATCGTGCTACATATTGTAACTTGGCAGGAAAGTATATATGGATATGGCTAATAATTTGGATAACAATATCAAAAGACAAATACCAAAAGTAAATGGATTAACACGTAAAAGTGAACTTAAAAAAATTGAGCGCATACACCTCAAGCATGGGTACATTTTGGTTGCCTTCACACAGCAATAGAGATAAACTCTGTTAATACGATGGAAAAGAAAGGTTTTAGTATGTAAATTCATCTTATAAAATTAAATCCCTACGTGCACATGAAAAAATAACAAAAATATATAGAATAGCGCTTTTATTGCTTATTAAGTCACAATACAACTCAATAAGCATCAAGTTAATCCTAATAATATTGTAAATTCTAGAATTGTCAGGATTTTACATTTCTGTTTTTTTTTTTTATTACGAAAAATATTCTTGAGACAAAGGGAAAATAAGGAGAAGTGTTATGATAAGACAGCAATTAACGACAACTAATGGATTAAAGGCTACTGACTTGAGACAGGCACATAAGCATTTGAAGGGTTTAAAACTATATTAGCGATAGCCCAACCATCCCCTTAACTTTGAACAGTGGTGTAACAGTACAAAATAAGAACAAACTATAAAATCAGTTTAGAATGTCAATGAGCTCTCAACAACCAACTCCCCTAACACTGGGACAATGATGTAACAGTACAATAAAAGAACAATCAGTAAAAATCAACTAGAAAGGTTATCCTCATCAAATTGGCACTATCATTTTGGAAAAAAATCAATCGAAATGACTACCTCCATTTTGGCACTAATCGATTTTTGAAAATCTGATTAATGTAATTGAAATACTCAAAGAAAACCTTCCCAGATTTTTTAAGAAACCCGTCTCTCGTTCCCACCTTTCATTTTATGTTATGTGCGTACAAACAGAGGGAGGAGATACGTAGAGGGCTTTCGAAACCCAAAAAGTCGGAAAAGACCGAGGCGAAAAAGATAAACGACGAAAAGACAAATAAAAGTCCACAAAACATTACACAGAAAACTAAGGACCCAATGAAAACCAGGATGAACAAAGTTACAGAATAAATCAATAGTGTGTCGTTATTACAAGCTAAGAGTACATTTAACAGAGGATTTTGTAGCACGACTGATATGACATTTAGAAATGAGTATGGCAACATCAAAGAATTTTGTCTCATGGAAACTACTAACAAAACAACCAGCACAACCAGAAAAAGCTTTTGTAGTTAGAGCATTCAAATATGTTAGATTTTACCCTTCAACTTAAATTGTTAAATTTACTTACAGAATTACTATCGTCTATCAAAGATAAATGTTGTTAAGCAGTTAAATTTATTGTTAGCTTTGATTAATAAACATCTGTTGACACGTAATAAAACAGTCTGTGGTGATTGTAAACACAGAGCAAGAGATAAAAGTCTGAGTCAGTGAAAAAGATATCAACCCATGATTGCTGACATTATAAGTGACTCATATTTGTATGTATGTATTTAATTTTTTTTTACTTTATATGTCTCACTTATTAACAAATCGTTCAAATAAAATGTCCTTTTGATGTCGTTAAATGTCAATCAAAGGTAAGTAAAAAGTTTGGGTTTTTTTTGCAAATCTTCTTGTTCTCTGTTTTTAACTTACTTTCTGCGTTTAACAATGATGATACATATACACATGGCAATAACAGCTAATACACCAATACAACAACCAACTATTAATCCTAATGGCGACGAATCTGTAATAAAGAACACATGATACATGTTCAATATAAAGAACACAGTACACCTGCCCATACATAAATGATCATGTCGGAATAAAGCCATAGGAGATAGTATTAGCCTTTTCCGTCATTCGAAAAGGTAACAGTTATTTTGTTCTTATTTGATGTGCATGCATATATTGATCTAATTTATGCTATGTACTTGCAAATCCCATAAAAAGCTAGTGTTAGGCTGTCGTTTTAGTCCGTGAACTATTTTTGACATGATTATAACTGTTTTCTTTGGAAAATCCTAACTTTTTTCGTGCCTTACGGCATAATTTAATTACCTAATTTTTCGGTATGTAACAGTGATGAGTTCCAACTGAGTTTGCTCTTTGATAGAATTATTATTTTTGTTCCAGTCTTACTTGCTCCGAGCTAGGATATGTAAGACACATTTAGTTTTATATAACATTTTTGGAAAGGAATATACTTCACTTGATTATTTTATAAGTTCATTTTCGGCTTCTTATCGTTATGTCTGCATTGATTTTTTTTTAATTTTAACATGAGATCGAAAATGATGAAATGAAATATGGAAGATATAAATGAGTCTTTTGTTTAAGGGTCCAATTTAAATTGAGACTAGTAAGTGCATTAAAATGGCTCAAAATGGAGGAAAATTCCGAAATTGAAGAGAATCTGATAAAAGGGGTGTCAAAAGCCTGAACTATAAGAAACTGGAACTCAATCTTATTACTGTGAACAACATTAAAAGTAAACATATAAGTACTAAAAGTCCGAAGCGCTTTTCAGGATTTACGTTCATCAGGAACGCTCAAAGTCGAATATTTGAAAGTCAAGGATGTATAAAACCGAAACAGTTGAAGAGCTATATTACCAATAAAGGACCTAAAAATAGCCAAATCCATCTAAGGTCAAATTTGCCTGAGGGAGTTTAAACCTTAGTTTCTAATATTTTCAAAATCTTTTAACGGACAATTTTAGAAAGGTTTGTTATGAATCATGTCAGTACCGAAGTACTGACTACTGCGCTGATGATACCCTCGGGGACTGATAGTCCACCAGCAGAGGTATCGACCCACTGCTGTAAAAAAAATGAAAACAACACGTGATAAATTTCATGCGTCCGAAGCGGATTTACCTTCATCAGGAACGCTCAAAGCCGAATATTTGAAAGTCAAGGATGTATAAGAACCAAAACAGTTGAAGAGCTATATTATAAATCGTTATTTTTTTAAATTATATATATATATATGCGGAATAAATTAAAAAGATTACCGTCATTCGCTGTAGTATTCCGATGATCTCTGTGCAGTTTATGTGTGTAACACAAAGTGGCTAATTGTTCTGTACAAAACCTGGACACGAGTGATACTGATCCGTTTGGGAAAATGGTTATGGCAGCACAGACATCTTTGTCACCACCTACAATAAAGAAATTCTTTCGACTTTATTTAAATTTATTTATTATAGGTTTTCCATATTTTTATTCATATAGGTTATTTCCAGCCCAGCAAAGGTCGTGTAAAAGTAGAAAGAGATGTCGTTGAATATTATATTACACATGTCAGTTTTTCTCTAACTGATTTAATTTTGAGATATAAGCCAAACACGGCAATCCCCCCCCCCCCCCTCCCCCCTCCCCCCCCCCCCCCCTCCAAAAAAAAAATGTTCTATTGTAGAAATGGCTGTCATGTTTGTCGACAAATTAAAGTTTTGAATGCATTATAAACTAGACATACATGGGATCATTAACATATTTGGTTAAAATCCGTTTATTGGTTTCTCATGAGAAGGTTTTTTAACAAGGTTATGTCGACGACGTTTTACTTTCCAAATATTTCTTGTACTGATTTGTAATGTTTGTATTTTATGAGCGTTTTATTAGCCCACTCATCGAGATTGAAAGGTATACGGTTTAGGTCTAAAATAAAGTTTATCCCATCTCATGTTCATATGCCTATCTCAAATCAGGTACCACTTCAGTGCTTGTCTATAATTGCCATATCTTAATGTCTTGTGTCATATTGTGTATACACCTGTCTATTGTATTGTTCATTCTGTTTCCGAATCTCCTTTAATAAAAAGTAGAACTTGTATTGCCGTACTACTATGGTGTTTGCAATTTCTGCTATGATCTATTTAAATCTTCAATATTATGGCCAACACTCAAATATTGGAAAAATAGTATTGGCAATTAAGAGCAATATAGTTTCAAATATTTTGGTCAAAAATAAACGTAGGCAGAACTTGACATTCAATCTGACCATTTTTACCAATTAATGATTTTCTATATCTATTCTGCTTCTGCTTCTGAAGATAGTAAACAATTGTTTGCATTTTGTCTTTATTAATATTCAATATTTAGCCATGACGATTAGTTAGTTGGTCGACGTGGACCCCGGATACAACATTTGTACTAGATACTCAAAGGAATATATATGTTTAATTTAAATTTGTATGGTAGTTTTAGAAAGAAAGTTTTCGAAAAGTTTGAGACAGACGGCGGTCGCAAAGTGATGAAAATAGTTCACACGGTCTTTGGGACCAAGTGAAATGAAAAGAACTTTTATGCACCAAGCTTTGTAACGAAAGTTAATATGATTTATTAAGAAAACAATTGTCTTTTTACTAAAATGACTTAATAAATGTTGTTTTCATATATATATCGTCTTGTATTTTAAAAAAAGAATTGTTCATTTAATTGTTGATTCAATATCATAAAGCTTCCCTTTTATTTTCAAACCAATGACATTTACTTTGAGCAGTGTACAAGATTCTATCCTCCTCAATAGCTTTAGGGTTACTTTTCGAAAACTAACCCCGAACAGGAACCTCGTCATACGTTCTCGTTATTTATATTTTTCTGTTGTTTGTCCTTGGTGAATTTTGTGTTTATCTCAAATCTTTGATACTAGTCTCTTTTACTTTTATTCACAATATTTCTAGACTTTATACATATAACCACACTGAAAACTAAAGATTGGGCTAACGAAGTGAGTTCAGGTACTCTGTAAGGGAATCAGTTCCTGCTGCAATATTCGAAGTGTTGAGTGACAATGAATAAGCCGCATTCATTAATGCCACAAAAACAATTGAAACAATTTCGGTGCGCATAACTATATCTGGAAAAATAATCACCAGGTACGCCCGTTACAAGAAGTGTCAAAAATATTAAACGTCTGAGAGCTTAAAAATCAAACCGCAAATCTAGAAGTCGAGCATCCATGAACGTTTAAAGTCAACTGCTGCTTCACATGATGGTTATCGGACATTGCCGTAAAGATTATAAAGGTCACTTTCATTTAAAATAAACCCAGTTGTTTCAGAGTAGTTTTTTTTTTATATATAAAGTAGCAATGAGGGTTTTGCAGTTAATATTACTAATAATTACTTAATGCTTTAATAGTCGTTATTTCTTTGACCTGTCAAAATGTATATCCTTGACTTTTCCGTATAGTGTTTTCTAATAAATTTCAAGGTAGTTCAAATCAATTTTGTATGTTTTATCAAACGATTTTGGTTTGCGTGAGAAACTAACTTTTGATTGTTGCTCGGTCTATAATTAGTCATGTCTCATATTTGCAATTGTGGACATTATATTACTCTTTCATTTTGCAGACTCAATGTAATGCAAACTGTAATAATAGAGTACCACGCTAAAAAGTATCAATTGATTTTGAAAAGTTTCTAATTGTATGCTTCTGGTAATATTTCCATTTTTAACGTGGAATCTGCAATTGACAATCTATCTAAGATCAAAAGCTTTAAGTTTCTTCAATTTAAAAAAAAATAGATTTACAGATTCACATATGAGCGAACGATAACTAGAAATATAAAAATATAAGGGAAAGTAAAAGGACAAGACAATGAAACATTTGTTATCGTTAGCACAAGACAATATTGTATGTTTCATTGGCAGGACCAAACTTATTATTGATTAATATATTGTATCATCAAGCCGATAGTTGAAAATGTACAGTACTACTAAATAAGTAATTCAGTGGCCCAGTAGTAATGTTAGTTATTTCATAAATTGCATGTATTTTTTTTATTATATTCTACAGTTACCTATTCCCCAAGAAATCTTTTTTCGACGAAAAAAAGATACCCAATAATTGTTTCCGTCTTTGAATCTTTTTTCCAGTATTTTTGTCATCTGTAGTAAGTGTTTGTCCTTTTTTGAACATATTTGCTCTGCTACAAGCCATGAAGTATTGGTTGCATCGGATGAAGGGTTATCTGAAAAGTAGAAAAAATATTAACCTTTAGTATATATGATTTACTTAAAATAATAAGCAATGATGTTAAGGTATCCGATCAATCATGTATATGGTGGTCCAATATTTGTTATTTATACACATATAAAAAATTAAGTAATTAGCACATTTTAAAAATTTTTACGAGTAGAGATAAAACGTAAAACCATGCATAAATCCTTCAAATTCAATAGCGTTTCCAAATTATTCTGATGTCGGCTTTTTTTTCCATTCGGGTCTGTTGAAGATTACCTCTGGTAAATTCTGGTCAAGATACTTATTTTGTACAATTCCATTCAATTCTTATGCTTTATGTAAAGTTTCAATAGTAAAACAAAGACTGGCAAATTAGGGAAAACACTAATTCCCACACTTAACAAAAAGTAAAACCAGCTGAGTACTTGTATAAATGAAAGGAAAATTCGAGTAGTTGACGATACATATTCAACAATGGATCAATTGGGACCAGCGGAAAGGGTAGATTTGCTTCTTTCTATAGCAACTATATCTTATTAGTTACACAGTGTGTAACGAATTTATCTTACCGACTAACTTGATATGAGGCATATAGACTAATGGCCTATCAAAGGATCAAGTCTTCAATATAAAGAACCTACTTCGATTGGTATATACAAAAACAAATGCCAACAATAACAACTTGTTAGCTTTTAATGTGTTTTCTGCATTTATTTCAATCGTTCATCATCAATTTCTTCATCTGTTGTCCGGGCGAAACGTTTCAGATTTTTCTTCAACGCCGAGTTGTTTTTATAAACGGTCGTAATACCACTACTAACCGTGTATTAAAATACACCACGCCTACTAACCCCATATTAAATGTACAGGGTCTCCACGCGGTCGCTCTTAACCAAAGATATTCCTAGAAATGTGTAGGAGGTAAGATAAATATATATATATAGGACCATCCTAGTAAAACTCAGGATATCCCAATTTGTATTAGATATGTTACATGTTAGAAGATATTGGAATTTTGATTTGTTCCGGATATTGATTGGTATAAATCAGAATTCTTATTTATTCTAGTAGATATCCAAATTCAAAATTTGTACTTGAGGATCCTGGATTCTGCTGAATTCTAATGTGTTCTGTAACATATACATGAATTCCGTTTTACAGTAGGTGACAATGTCCTTAGTTACGCTGACCAATACAAGTATTTGGGTGTTAAATTTTCTGAGAAGAAAGCATTTCATATGAATGCTGAAATTTAGCCAATTCGACTGGAGGTGTCCCTAAACATTCTACCATCTGCTTATAATTTGATAGTGTACCGAGTTGAAAGAAATTTGAAATGCAAAAATATGAAGTATTTTCAAAGCGTATTCATCAATCTTTCAATTTCCATGAAATTTGTGTGGATCTGAAATGTATATGGGCGAATATCTGTGAAATAATGTATATTTTTACTGATCATGATTTAATAATTTTTCAGACTTTTCAGAAGATGTTAATATCAAAGATTACTTTTTAAGACTTAAATTCATTTACTAGTGTAAGTTTTGATGTCCTTGCAGCTGTCACTGGAAACTGTTATCACTTCTGCAAGTTGTATGATTATGTTTTGAAAGCCGCCTCCTTTTTATTGATAAAGCAGGCGCGTACCCAGACTTTTGCTTGGATATTCAATTGAATATATATACACCTGTCTATTTTATAAGAATTAAATTTTTATCAATTGATCCACCCCGCCCTTAGTAGATTGTGCCTTGACAACATGAAACATAAGTATAATTGGTATATTTATATTAATTTTACAGTTTTATAACTGTGATGTAATAGCGGCAATCGTATAACGGCTCGGTTCAACACAATACAACAAGAGTCAAATCATGTTCAAACCTGACATCATGTAAAGATAGCCATTTGCTTTCCTAAACAGTTGTTATGGTCCACAGGCCCAAGTGAGCTATTCTCATCACTTGGTGTCTGTCGTCCGTTAACTTTTTCAAATACCTACTGAGCCAATTGAAACCAAAACTTGACACAATCGTCCTTGAGTTTAGTCAAGAATTGTGTCCGATGACCCTGTCTGCCAACCAACATGGTCGACATGTGTACAAATAGGACATAGGGTGAAAATGAAAGTTGGGTCTATTATCTTAAAAGCTGCTATTGATAGAGAAAATCTGACAAGGCAGAAATGTTTAAAATGTTGAGATCTACCATCTGTCCCCTTATATCAAAACTGTCCGACGACTTCGTATTGAAGTTATTGCCCTTAAATGATGAATTTTACCTCTCTTTTTTTCTTAATTTTTGCCTTTTATCTTGAAAACTTAATAGATACAGAGAAACTTTGAGAGTGACTCTGATAGGAAATATGACCAGCCAAACAAGATCTATAAATAAGTTAACTTGGTCGAAATCATGAGTCAACTTCTTATTGGACGATATTTACCATTTATTCGTGTTTTTTTCCAATATAGCGAAAAATTCAATAGATAGATAGAAATTTTACAAGCAAAAACGATTAACAAGACAGGATCTACATTCAAGTCAAATAGCCGAAATCGTCAGTTGACCCCTAATAAGAGTTATGACCCTTAAATCAGGATTGTTACTAATTTTATGAGTTTTTGCTTATTATGTTGAAAACCATAATAAATAGATAGAAACTTTAAATAGAAAAAAAGATCAGCAAGACAAAATCTACAAGAAAGTTGATAAGACTGAAATGGTTGCTCGACCCTTAATGGCAGTTTTTTTACCCTTAAATGTCGATTTTTTACCAATTTGTTTGCATGTTTGACTTTTATCTTGGAAACTAAAAAAGATTGAAATATCTATCAATTATTATAGAAAAAATTATTAGAAAGACAGGGTATACAAATAAGTCAACATGACCCAAATCGTTATTAAACTCCTTATAAGAGTTATTGCTCTTAAATATTGATTTTTACCTTTTCGTCTATTATCTTGACACTTATATAATAGATAGAAAGAAACTTTGAAAAGCAAAAATGATCAATAGGACAAGTTCTACAAATATGTCAACATGGCTGAAATAGAGTTATTGCCCTTTAATGATGATTTTTTTTCAAAAAGTGGCCAATGTTGAGGATGCAGGTGAGTAACACAGACTCTTTATAGACTCTAGTTCTTCTCGTCAAAACAGTTTTGTTGTTTTAATACTTTTGTAATGTTCAAAATTATACCGCAGCAGGCTTTATTTTCATAGTTAAATTGTATTTTATTTATCTTATGTGTTGAATTAGTCATGTTGAATGAGCTAAATGCAGCGAGAAGTTGATATTTGTATTTACCTCATGTATAGACATGTCATGCTTGCAAACTAATGGTAAGATTGTAATGACTATGTGTTAGTAGTGAGTGAAAGTGTGAGTAGTTTTTTTTTGCAGTATACCGTAATCTTGTTGAATTCATTTATAAATTTAGAAATATAAAAAATGAATAGTACATATTATTCAATGTGTTCACAAAAACCATAGTCAGGTGGTGATTGTAAGGGTCTTGTAACATCCTGACAACTGAAAACAAATAAAACATAAAACAAAAAAATGTTGAATGTTGAACGTTTCATTCCATGGGTTAATAAAACCACCCCAAATAAAACAATTATACTCAAAAATGAAAACAATGAAATAACTTTTTAAAAAGCCATTTATAATACATATTAGATATAAATAAGAACATCATTACCACTGAGACACTTTGCATAATTTCTGTGCATATGTATAGAAAAGAGTTATCAATAAAGCGCTTTAAGAGTATGTGCTATTATTAATTGTATAGCAGCAATCGTGGTTGAGTGGTACCATGAACGAACCGAAGACTATTGCGGTAATTGGAGAAAACGCTCGCCAGTTCGAACTCCAAATGTGCGTTTTATAGAAGTGTGTAAGTTAAAAGTTAAAAGTTAGAATACAAGATTTTTTAAAAATACTATACAATTAGAACAATAGACTGACGTTAGTTAGTTTAAGACAAACATAATTATGCTGCACTTTGTGTTTTATACCTATTCTAATTAATACCAAGCACTGTTTAAAAAGTGATTGCATGATATAAAATCATACATGCACAGCATACAGTGCTGTTCCTCGTTATATTTAATTTCACACCACATAATTAAAAATCACTTCGAATAATGATAAAAACACATCATATAATGAAAATAAACATACTGAGATAGTTTGGCATTCCACACGATTGCTTGTGGTTACATTTATACCTGACAAGGTTGCCTATTGTGTATTTAAATCGACTTTTCTGTTTTATTTCTAAGTCTGATATTAACTAAAATTGATACTTTTATTGGTTATATTTTTCTAATCGTGTTGGTTTATTGCATAGATTCAACATATGAGCTGCGTCGGATAGAAATCGACCTTATGCAAAGGAATATCAATACATCTGTCAGCCTACTTCGGGTTGAAAAAATCTATATGCAAAGTCTGTAACTGTTTGAAAGTTTAGTTGATATAAGATCCCTACCGTTGAACACAGATCAAAATTCATCTTTTATATTTTGTATTTGAATGTTCCAAAATCAATCAAAGTCTTATACATGTACATGTATATGTGCTCTTGCATAAGGTCGATTTCTATGCTACGCGGCTCATATATTAGATAATTGTAAAACATAGTTAGTCTTACCTCCATCGCAAATAAAGTTTAACTTTACAGAACAATTTTTAGTTGTGAATATCCATTCTCTGATGTTAGGTTCAAAATAGTATACATCACACAAATAATCTTCTTTTTCAACATCTGTAATAAAGTAATTTCCATATAAATGCGCGATATGAATATAAAACTCTAAACTGTCGACAACAAAATATTATTTCCAATTAACTTCGTATAAATTATTTCATGATCTTTTGATACAAGACTGTTTGTAATTTTGTTAAATGATATATTTAGCATTTTTATGTCATTGAAACATCTAAACAGTCTTCAACGTTTTTGAAAGATAAAAAGCGAAACATAACCCTACTGGACATAGGGATTAACTATGCACAGATGTTTATTATGTCTCCCGTCAAAATGTGATAGACATATTGTTTTTGTCCTGTCCGACAGATGGTTTGTCCGTCTGTTTTTCCGTCTCAAAAATTAGAAACATACTTTCTACGACAGGTTACATAAGAATTGAACTAAAATGGGCATGATAGGTAAGTTTGTCAACACAAAGTCTCCAAAGTCTACAGAGGAATGGAACCAAACTTAATACTTCATTAACCCGGCGAATTATTATATACTAGTACATGCTGGAAGAATTAATAGAGATAAACAACATCATAAACCATGAACTATAAAGCTTCTGTTATTTCAGATCCACTACTCATACAGGAGAGACACTATTTGCAGTCGGGCCAATATGCGCAATTCATTTCAGGTAGGCGAGTATAGTAACATTTTCCTCAATTCCCTTTACCTGATTAGAAGCCTGGATGTATGTTTGGTTCGTTTCGAAGTTGATGCATTTTTGAAAAAGTGTTTAATTTCTTGGATACCATATAATATATTATGTTCTGAATTTAGCGAACCTCTTTTAAGAGACCTCTTTATATTTTTTGAAACGTAACTTCCAATTGACGACAATGAAATTCTGTGGAAATGAGGTTCTTTGCAAACATTTATAGTCGGCACCGTATCCTTCTGTAGAACGTTTTACAATTATAATTTGGTAGGAGTTGTGCAAAGTTTGTCGTCATATACACACCATGGTTTTTGCCGAATTTCAATAATCAATAGACACAAGAGCCTTTAACTTCAAGGAATTACAAAGGGTAAACTTTATTTGTGTTTATCATTTGCCACATCTTCACGTACAACGTATACCTCATGTATACATCACATGTGTTGTCACACAAAGTGAGAGTAAAATTTTAAAAAGGCACATGTTTTATTTTATTTCAAATTTTTGTAGGGAAACAACAATAAAAGCATTTTTCATATTTTAGTGCATTATTCATTGATGTGACATTTAAGATGAATAACATTAACACTAATCTTGCAAATCAATAGAAAATGACATACTTGTCATAATGTTACGTACTGGAAAAGAAATGCACTAGAAAAGAATTGCTAACTATTTTTCAAGGTTTTGTTTCATTTTAAGACAGTTTACACTGTAACAAGAGGCAGACAATATTATACAAGTACACATTACAATGACGAACAGAACAGTGTGGAACGAATAAACATTATACAACCAATTACTAAACACAATTTACAAATATTACAACACATATATTAAGACGCAAATATGTATGAATGATTGATCTAAACAAGTGTAAGTTACATGCAGTTACAAAATTCGTATTATTTTTTTTAAGAAAATAGAAAGGTCATTTTTTCTAATATAGTGTTCAGGAATGTTTTTCGGTCGGATGCTGCTTATATTTGCATTTGAACAAACAAATATATAATGAAATTCACTTCCTATTAGTCCTTCTTTGAAGAGATTGCAGAAACGCTCAGTTCTTGGAATTTTATGCCATTTTCCACATCAGTAGCACGTATTCAACTAGAGGCTCTTAAGAGCCTGTTTCGCTCACATGCATTTTCAACAATGGCCACTTTTTAAAATCATCATTAAAGGGAATAACTCTATTACGAGTTAACAGACAATTTCAGTCATGTGGGCATATTTGTAGAAATTATCCTGCTGATACTTTTTTTTCTTTTTAAAGTTTCTATTTGTCCATTGTAGTTTTCAAGATATTAGGCAAAATGCATAAAAAATATCTTTTAAGGGCAATTACTCAAATAACGAGTCCACTGAAGATGTCGGCAATTATGGCTTATTTGTAGATCTTGTCTTGCTGATCATTTGTGTAATTTAAAGTTTCTATCTATCTATTATAGTTTTCAAGATAATATGCAAAAACGGTAAAAAAAAAATGGGGAAAATCGTCATTAAAGGGCAATAACTTCAATAATGAGTCGAGTAACGATTTCGGTTTTGCTGACTTATTAGTAGATATTGTCTTGCTGATAATTTTTGTTTCTTAATGTTTCTATCTTTCTATTAATTTTTAAGATATTAGGCAAAAACGGAATGTAAAAATATTCAGTAAAGGGCAATTACTCTTATAAGGGGTCGACTGAAGATTTCGGCTATGTTTCAATTATTTGTAGATCCTGTTGTGCTGATAAATTTTGCTCTTTATAGATTCTATCTATCTGTTATAGTTTTTAAGATATAAGGCAATAACACAAACATTTGGTAAAAATCGTCATTAAAGGGCAATAACTCTAAAAAGGAGTCGTCTGAGGATTTTTGTCACTTGAACTTTTGTAGATCTAATCTTGTCGATCATTTTTGCTTTTTAAAGTTTCTGTCGATCTATTATAATTTTCGAGATAATAGGCAAAAAAAATTTAAAATGGTAAAATTTTTCATTTAAGGGCAATAACTCCTGTAAGAAATCGTCTGACAGTTTTGACTAAATGAACAATAGGTAGAGCTCAACATTCTGAATATTTTTTTACCCTGTCAGATTTTCTCTATTTATAACTGTTTACGAAATAATAGGCAAAACTTGTATTTTACCCCAATGTTCCACTTTTAGCCAATGTCGGCCATCTTAGTTGACAGCCAGGGTCATCGGACACATTTTCAAACTAGATACCCTAATTATGATTGTGGCCAAGTTTGGTTAAATTTGGCCCAGTAGTTTCAGAGGAGAAGATTTTTTCAAAAGTTAACTGACGACGGACGACTGACGCCAAGTGATGAGAAAAGCTCACTTGGCCTTTCGGCCAGGTGAGCTTATATAAATAAGTGTATAGATAATACTATTTCCATCCACGAATAATGTGTTGATATGATATCGTAGTATATTGTAGGCTGGATCGATAATTTCTTTTTTTTTTTTTAATTAATGGAAGGACATATGCAATGTTTTTTAAATCTAGATAAAATAGAAAAATGCAACACTACAGAATAAATGGAAGAGCAAACATGTTAGGGTTTTTCATGAACAATTGTTTGATTTACACCAACCGAGGATTTCTGATATTCTGCAGATTGTGAGCTACATCAAAATCCATAAGCAGCGTTGTGGATTTTAGATATGTTTAATAGTATACACTTTCTGGGTTGGATTTTGTATACTAGTTTTGGAATCTTGAATGATCTTGACCAGGTTTGTGTAATTAATATTTCAATTTGGGCTTTGAAATCGGAATAGTTTTAGTCCCTCTGGTCCGTAGGGCTTTCTCGACTAAAGAGTGTGGTCCGGTTACCTACAAAAAAATCTTCTCCTCTGAAACAACTCAGTCGGAAAATTGAGACCAAAGTTAAAACCACCAAACGTATTTTCAAAAACTTTATCGGATATTCCGCAGATGTAACATGTTATCCTTCTTAATAGTAGATCACAAAGGTTAAAACGGGTCAAATAGTGATTATTTTAAATTCATATGAAACGAGTTTCAATTATAATGTTAAGAAAATTATTGAACCAATGAATGCATATATACTTAACTAAATCTTCTATGCTAAATCTGCATCTAAATTATATATGTTTACTTATACATTTCCAATAAACGAGAGTTCTTAAAGTATTTATCATGTCTTTATTATGTTACACTTAGTCAGCACTTCTGTTTCCTTAGCCTTTGTGATACTCTGTAATTCGTCAAAACGAGTTGTGGTACACATGTGAAATACCAACGTTAATAATACTCGCCATACGAAGTGAAGTACAATATAAAGACACCTCTCCATCCAAGTCACAATGTATAACAAGTTAACAATTATAAGTCAAAGTACGGCCTTCAACACGGAGCCTTGGCTCACACCGAACAGCAAGCTGTAAAGGGCCCCAAAATGACTAGTGTACACTTCAAAAAATTTACAGAATTGGAATTTGGAACATTATGAAAACGAAGCATCATATGTGTGTTTAAGGGAAGAATATCATATTATGGAACATAATTTTGAAACCAAAATAGAATTAGCATGCACATTTTTACGACAGTAATCCCATTTCATATAATAAATATATAATCAAAATCTAGTTCTGGATTAAAACGTTTGACATCTACATGTAAATGGTGTCAATTTATATTGAGGTACAGTTATTTATTAATAATCAAAAATGAAACGATCACAAGTGTATCGGAAATATAATGGGACTCACCTCTTTCATACACTACGCAGTTTTGTTCATAACACAGACCATTTTTAGGGTGTTTGCATATTTTTGTCTTTGAAAGCCCAACGTCAACGTGGTGATCATTTAAACAGCTACAAGAATGTTCCTGTAATTCAATATGCAATATCTATAATTTCTAGGTAAAAAATACTACTTGTTATCTTGAATAACTTATAGAAATACTTGTAACTTGTTGTTAATATATCAATGATGTTTGCACGTTGTCAATATTATTGAGGGTATTTGCATGTTGTATAAATTTTAAATACAGGTATGACAAAGATCTATTTCGCAGTTGACAAAATTACGATCATACTAGATGATATCTTCTCAAAACATTAAATAATCAATGTGTTTATAATAAAATTGAGAATGGAAACGTGGATTGCGTCAAAGAGACAACAACCCGACCAAAGAGAAGAAAACAGCCCACCAATGGGTCTTCAACTCGGCGAGAAAATCCCGCGCCCGGAGGCGAGCTTCAGCTGCCCCTAAACAATAATGTATACTAGTTCAGCGAAAATGGACGTCACACTAAGCTCCGAAACATATAAATGAACCAAAATTTAGAAAGCATACAAGACTAACAAAGGCCAGAGGTTCCCGACTTGAGACAGGCGCAAAAATGCGGCGGGGTTAAACATGTTTTGTGTGATCTCAACACTCCCCTTATACATCAAGCAAATGTGAAATAAACAAACACACAGCAATACGCACAGTAAAACTCAGTTAAAAAGAAGTCCGAGTCCGATGTTAGAAAAGGTAACAGAAGAAACTAAGCAGAAGACAATAATCAACATAAATTAACAAATGACTACATAAGCAGCTACTGACATGCCAGCTCCAGACCTCAATTAAACTGATTGAAAGATTATGTCTTCATCATATGAAAATCAAGCACAATCCCTCCCGTTAGGGGTTTAGTATCATGTCAACCAACATAAATCATACGAGGAGAACATAACCCGTATCCTGCCAACAACTAGAATTTTTAGAATAAATGTGTTCATTTCCGATGCAAAGACCCTATTAGTGAATAAATATTAATTTCAAAAAATGCCATCTTTAATGACTTGATTAACAGTATATCCCTTCTGAATAAGTCTTTCTAAAATTAAAATTTCACCATTTTTTACAGATAAAATTTTGACTAAAGTTTTAGAATAATAAGTAAAATGAACCAAACTATTCTAGAATTTTTTAAACCCAAAGTTTTGGAGCCTCATTTTGACGTTATAAAAGTCTAATTTTTAATCTTTTAGATATACGATTTTCACTCACGGTGGAAATTTTAAAGTTGAAGTTTGAAATTTAGAACTGTCTAATGAAGACATTTCGAATTTATGAAAGCAAAAAAATACAAATTACTTGAAGTGCATTTCAAGCTTATGTTTGAAGGCCAAACTTAAAAAATGAAGAAGTCAACATCTGCTGTTAATATAGAATTCAAAATCGATGATTCTCTTTTGACAAATCATAATTTTCTTCAATACTTTTAATTTTTTATCAAGGTATTTTTTTATGTACGAACAAATACTCACGTTGTAGCTAAAATATTTCTGGCCTTTACAATGCCTGTTACATTCATCTAAACTTCCATTTCGGTTGTTATTACACGCTGTACGACGAACTCCTTAGATAGCAGAGAAATGATTAAATGTCAATGATCAATATAAACTCAAACATTATTTATAACGTCCTATCATTTAACTTACGCTTAAATAAATTTAAATATGAAATGACCCTTTCTTGGCAAATATAAGAAATCGACCTTATGCAAGTGCATGTACATGTATACATGTATACATGTACATGCATAAGACTTTATTTACTTATGTATTATTCAAATACGAAATATAAGATGAATTTTGGTCTGTTTTGTAGGTTTCTTATATCAACTCAATTTTCAAACAGTTACAGACTTTGCATAGTTATTTTTCAATCCGAAAAAGGTTAACTAGATTTATTGATATTCATTTCCATAAGGTCGATTTCTATCGGACGCAGCTCATATGAAGACTTGTCCTATTGGGCTTAATCAATTATACTACTCAAATAATAACATCAATTTTCTGGTGAGTACCATTTGTTATCATAACAAACTTCTCAGAATTCCAATGAGGATATAATGCACTGCGAACAATTTGATGATATTTTTTTTAAGTTACATTAAAATACAGTAACCACTAGAACAGTTTGGAATGGTCCAAATGTTGAAAAAAATCATTGATGAACTAGAGATGTATTTGTTCTCAACTATCTGTCTAGTGGGAGTCACATTATTACAATAACTAGAAATGGAGGAAACGAGAAAATGCAAGTTTACCGCTAAATAATTTTTACTTAATATAAATTCAGAATCTTGTTTCAGTATGCACACGACACATGTTTCTAAATCTTCATCAAGTGCTTTCGAGAAAAAAAACTAAATAAATAAATCATTTAATGGCGTCAAAACCCAGTAAGATCAACATGGAGATAGTCCCCCTCCAGCAGTACCGGCCCAGTGGTAAAACTTAGGTTGAGTAATTGAGTTCAGGGGTAATAACATAGTGCACAAAGTTAGTCTTTATTTCAGCATCTTGATTTTAAACCAGAGTGACTGGTAAATTTTACAAACCACACGACTTCACTGGAGTGCTCATGCAGTTTTCAATATGGTGACGTTATTCCGACATGTTCCGCAAATTCATTTACTTAAAAAGTAAAATTACAAAAATACCGAACTCCAGGGAAAATTAAAACGGAAAGTCATATATCAAATGGCAAAATTAAAAGCTCAAACGATTGGAAAACAACTGCCATATTTCTGACTTGGTACAGGCATTTCCTTATGTAGAAAATGGTGGATGAAACCTGAAATATTACTTGTAATTATTCTCATTTTGTTTTTTTTCTCAATTAAACCAAGGAATCTAGAAATAAGATAATAGATAAACGCACCTAAAGGATTTATATTTCGTTGGAAGCCTATGTTGGCACCAACCCAATAAGTTCCAGTCTCTGTGGTATTAATGTTTAGCTTTTGCACTGGATAATCTGCTTCAAACTCGTTACCAAACAGGTTGCAGTCAGTCAGAATATTATTATGGGTTGTAGAAGAATTGGAGATGTACACATCATCTTCAGAGTATACTGGAAAAGTCATTATTCATTTTAAATATTTTTTTCTCAAAAAAAATATGGATCCTTTAGTGAGCAAGCTCACATAATCTAAACCTTCTGGCATAGTTTTTCCGTTGAAGTAAGTGCTATGAGAAATAAAATCCTGATTCAAGCGATAAGAATAAAAATAGTAATTTATTTTTAACAGCCCCATCGCGAAAAAAATTGTTCTTATTTAGTTTTTTCATGCTTATCAAACTAGTAAGTTTTAGAGCATTTGATGCATGGAAACCTTCATTTAAATTTTAAGAGGATCTGGATTATTTGGAAAGTGTCCCTCTCGATTTTTTCTTCTTCTAATTATCGAACGCATCCACGGACTTGTTGAGTGAAAATCTTCCTCCAAATTTGAAGAGGATCTGCTAAAGATCGAAGGTGATATCATGGCAACAAAAGTGAATAATGGATATTTTTTATAAGACTTAGTGTCCCTCTCGAAAAGGTTCAGGTTTTTCTGATTATCGAACTTATCCGATGACTTGCCGATTGTAAACCCTCATCCAAATTTGAAGAGGATTCGAAAAAAACATAGGCGCTATCCTGGCAAGAACAATGTGACGACGGAAGGACGGACTGGCCAAAACATCATATATCCCACAACTTCGCTGTTTGGTACATATGATTATTCAAAGGAATATGCAAACGAAACATTTTTCAAAGCCACTTGATTTTTCCAGACAGAGTGATCTGGTTGGTTTATTAACATTTACCTTACAGATGACCTAGGCAATTACCATTACCACATGAGTTAGAATGTACAAAATGACACAGTGCTTTTGACCTACGTGCATGTACCCTTTTCATATCAGTAGGCTGCTCTAGGTACTAGTATTGTAATGTTATCCATTGATAAAACTGGTTGCTGTAACGTTTAGAAATGTAAAGGTTAGAAAATTGCATCAAACCTAAATAATAAAGACACTAGCCAACAAAAAAAAACAAAAAAAAAAAAACATAATTTTCGGAGGGGAACTGTTGACATAAACGCCAATCCTTTTAAATCGATATCTCAATGTTTGACACGTTCCTTGCATTTAAAGTTTATGTAATTTGAATTTACATAAGTGACTTAAATTCGAAAGTGTTAATTTTTGCTGCATTTCATAAGGCATTCATATTCTTGACAAAATTTTCAAGGAACTTTCTGAACCATTGATTGCAAGGGTGCAATTCAAAGAGAATAATAGGTTACATAATATAAGGGCATTACTGTCTTCAAACAGTTAAGTCTAAAGCAACCGAGTTGTTTGACTTCAATCCAGGGACACTTCCACGCTAACATCGATCATCGACAACTTTGTTCTGACAGTGTATTTTTTTTATGTATAACATTATTTAGAAAAAACTTCGAACCCGATTGCTGTGTTGAAAATGCACTTAACAAGTATCATTAACTTTTGTACATATATTCGTTCTTTACTTTAAAAAAATGTGTATATATTGATAGACTAAATATTTTGAATGATGTATCTCATTTGTAAAATTAATAAAATGTAAATCGCTGGGAGAGAGTGGGAAGAACACTACGGAAACGGAAATATGTTATAAAACCGGGAAGTAACGTTAAAATACACATGCATTAATCAGAATTGCCTATTTATTCTTTCAATAGATAATGACTCGTAAGGAAATGAAAGTGTAGCATGGACATCCTCTCTTGAGTTTACACATCGAATCTCGATTCACGACCTCATTTTCTAAAAATAATTAAAGTAGTATTTTCGTTCGGTTATGTTTTTCCAACTCTGGCTTTTACTTTCTTTGTACGTCTTTCTCTTTTTAATATCCCATATTTATGTAGTATGTTTTTATAATACGGCCAAGACGAATTACAAGCTGAATGATACTTTGTTGTCTTATTTTCAACTCCTATTTTATATTACTTAAACCAATGTTTCCGATGTCCTACAAAATGACGAAGACAGTTAGTCACTCTGAAAACGTACTTTTTATATAACAAGTACATAGGATGAAATATTCTTGTATATATATATCATACTATCTACTCTAACATTGTTAAGTTGATTTACTAGGCACTTTATATATTTAGGTTGATTTACTAGGCACTTTATAGAAAATCAATCTAACAAAGATCTAAACTTTCCATCTTTTGTTTTTCATTACTTTGTATGAAGTCCAAGATTGTTGAATTGTAACTTCAACTTTCTACAAACGATGTTCGGTGTTTAATTTGTATATGTCAAAGATGTTTGAATAGGTAATGACGCCATTGCACACTCAGAGATTGTACACCAGGCTGATGAATAATATTTGTTATCCAAAGTATTTATTGATTTTTTTTTTTTCATATTTTTTTATCATTGTTTTGGTCATATTGGTTTTGTTGTACACTTTTTTAAACGTATATGTATATGTATAAATAGATATAGATATTTCGCAATATATATATATATATTGTAATATTTAAAGTTTATATTTTTGAGATAGCAAAGTGCAATCGACTTATTTTTTCCCATACATAATATATGTTTAAAACCGACTTGATAAACTTACTGTTGTTCAAAGTTCATACTCCTTAAATGCACACGCGTACAAAGTTTACATACATATCCTCAATGTGTAACTGCTGTTAATGTGTAAGCTGCTGTATCATTGACGTAAACTCCACATATCCCTACATTCATTCCTATCTTTAAGATTGTGGTTAATTAATTGGTGATTGTTTTACGCCGCATCGGCACCTCTCAGCGGCACCTTTATGATTGTGCATTAACAGCTTATTCAGCATATTCCTATCTAACTGAAGCAATATTTAAAATTAAACGATTTAATAATTTACGTGTTACAAACAAAATACTTTACATGTGTGCTAAGTATTGTTCAACGTTTTAAAACAATACAAAAAAGAAGATGTCGTATGATTACCAAGGTGACACCTTTACGGCCTTCAACAACGAGCAAAACCCATACTGTATAGTAAGCTATAAATGCCCCGCGTGACACAATGTTAAACATAAACATATACAAGCATATACATCTTAATCTAGAAGTCTCTTTAACTCAAATAACAAACTACAAGCAATTTAAAACTTCGAGCAAAAGAAAAAAAAAACATACCACTGAAGGTACACAGATATGATATATTTACCTTTACTGTCTTTTGTGGCGCTGGTTATCACTATCGTCAAAATAAAGAAAAACAATGTTTCGGCCATGTCTGTATAACATTTATAACTTTCTACTTTCCGGATATTATTGTTTATCAGTGTGAAGTGTATATACTACATGATTAAATTATTCGTAAAATAATGTGTAATAAGGAAAGAATCACATGCGATTACCCACACCATTACTTTCCTATTGAGGAGTAACTACAACACGCTGTTCTAATATTACTAATAAGGCTTGGAGTAAAACAATCTTTCGTTCTATCTCACACACTCTCTCTCTCAGTAAAAAAAATATGAAATTATAAATACGTTGATTCACTACATCCTTATGAAAAATGATACAGTACATATAGAATAAATAAGACATGAAACATTTAAATGAAAACAACACTTTATAAATTTCATGCGTCCGAAGTGCGTTTCTGGATTTACCTTCATCAGGAACGCTGAAAGCCGAATATTTGAAAGCTGAGAATGTAGAAGAAATAAGAACAACAACTCAGTAAATTTAAAAGAATAACATGTAATAAAATCCATTAATATTTCGGGTAGCAATTACACTGTGTAGCATCACCACCGGATATATGTACCCCCGAAGCGGTGGAAAAAAATAATGAAGTCAGGTTAGGTCAAATTTTCATTATATTCTACGTTTTGCTGACAAGTAAAGTTTTGTGATATTGATTCCTATTAATGTAGCTACTATTTAGGGCTGATTTTGATCCTTAATTGGGTTTCTCTCTCTTCAATTCGTCAGAATCGGACCGGGTAGTACCTGTTCAAAGAAGCATGTGACGAGTTTAAACTTGTTAAAACAAATTTATCCTTCAACTATTCATTTGACGTCTTCGTAGAACAAAGTTATGTCATATTTATGCTTGAACAACACTGTATTTCATTTCGGAATAAACTATTGTTTTCAGAGAAATTCATGTAAATAACGCGGATAAATTGTATGGCGAATAGTGCTTTACTGTACGGGGAATAGAATAGATACTTTTTGCTATCATTGTTTCTTCGCTCCAGGGGTACCTATATCCGGTTGTGATGCTACACAGTGAATTATCAACTGCCCGATAGCAAGTGGCGACAAAAGCATATTAACAGTTATGAATGTCATGCGTCATACGATATAAAAACTGATATTGTCTCGTTTTATAATCCCGAGAATGCTACAAAATTATATTCAACGTCAGAAAAAAACAAGACGAAAATCTGAAGAAATTCTCTATTTGTTGTGGCCACCGTACAGTCTCTTTTCCTTTTTTTTAAATAATAAAACCACCGAACTAAAAAAGTAACCAAAAACCAAAAAGGGTATTTAACAAAGGCAATATTCATAAATACTGGCCACCATCTTAGAAATTCACTCAAAAGTATATCCGTTATTAGGGATAGACTGTCATAGTCCTTACTTGTATTGACTGTTGTTTATCTTTTTGGTCGTTTTTCGTGTTTTTTTGTTGTTGTTTTTTTTGACATGTTGTTGTCAGTTTGTAATCGACTTATGAGTTTAAATATCACTTTGGTATATTCCGCCTCTCTTTTGTAACAGGTATACTTCAGCAATTTTAACTTTTATTTCAATTATTTAAGTTCCGAATAACTTTGAATCTTTGTTTAAATGTCCCAATTAAGACATTGGTCATGTTTTATACATCTCCGTTTTATAATTAGTACAAAACCCGTCAAATTAACTCAAATCATTGATCCCATCTTTAGTTTTTTTTTTCTTATCTAAAATCTTTTCTAACTGAAATTTCTACCCTAGGTCAAGATTTGATGTGGTAAATTGAGAAAGTCCTTTGGTTTTGATATGAAACCCGAAAGGGAGAATCTGTCTTACTGTCAGTCACTGCGAAGGTCATTCATAGTTCATAGTTTATTCTTTCTTTATTTCTAAATTGTCCGCTGTTTTTACAGAATTATACCGTTTACCTTTAGAATTTCACAATTTTTCTCGCTCGACATCCAATACATAGTTTTCTGTATGAAGGATTAGATGCTCTGAAGCGCGAATACTTGGGTGTACTGTTTGTTTATAGCAAAGTTCCATTGCACTGCTTTTACTGCTTTCTGTTACTTTCATGATATCAAAAGACGCCAGTTTGGTGATCATGTTGTTAGCAATTATGATTTTTTTGTGGAGTTGTGTTGTCGATACGTCTATTGGATATATCTGCCTCCATTGTATTACAAGTACTGCATATTATAGAACAAAATATATTAGCAAAAAAAACGAACTTCAATGTTAATTCAAAAAGCGAAAGTCCATAAAATCTGACAAAACCAAATATTGAATATATCAACCAACGGAATGATTGGAAAACAACTGTCATATTCCTAACATGGTACAGGCATTTTCCAATATTTAAACTGAGTTCGAATGTATTCCGAAAGTGTTTTGTCGAACTTTATTTCTAACATCTGGTTACTTTAGGGTTAGATTAGGGTAGCATATGTTGTTTAGCCTTAAAAGTTTGACCCCACGGAGATACAGGATATTTTGAAGTATTTTTAACCTTTGAAGTGAAATAAATGACATTGTAAGATACTAAGTTATTCATCCAGAATGTGATAATCATTAAGTACTTGTTGGTGCGGAATGTTGGTCTATGAACTAGTTACATCTAAGCGTACCACTAATCAATAGTCTTAAGTTTGAACTGCTAAGTGATTCAGGAGATCCAAGTTGTCTCAATTAAAACTCATCTCAAATCATAACAGAGCTACTTATGAAGTTACTTTACTGATGTGTTGGACACTTTGAATCCACATCAATGTGTTTCAACTGTAAGATTCTAGAAGAGAGGCGAAGGATACCAAAGACCAAAGGGACATTCACATTTCTGTGTTTTTGTTTTTTCTACATTGGCTAGAGGCATAGGGGGAGGGTTGAGATCTCACAAAACATGTTCAACCCCGCCGCATTTTTGCGCCTGTCCCAAGTCAGAAGCCTCTGGCCTTTGTTAGTCTTGTATGTTTTTTCTTAATTTTAGCTCATTTATATGTTTCGGAGTTTAGTGTGACGTCCATTTTCACTGAACTTGTACACATTTTTGTTTAGGGGCCAGCTAAGGTCCGCCTCCGGGTGCGGGATTTCTCGCCGTGTTGAAGACACATTGGTGGCCTTGGGCTGTTTTCTACTCTTTGGTCGGGTTGTTGTCTCTTTGAAACTTTGAAACATTCCCCGATTCCATTCTCAATTTTATCATTAGTCGAAAATAAACTGACAACGCCATGGCTAAAAAAGAAAAAGAGATCAACAGACAAACAATAGTACACAAAACACAACATAGAAAACTAAAGACTGAGCAACACGAACCCCACCAAAAACTGTGGGTGACCTCAGTTGCTCCGGAAAGGTAAGCAGATCCTGCTCCACATGTGACACCCGGAGGATAGGAGAGTTAAAAGTCAATATGTATATTTTCTGTGTAAGAAAAACATTTTGGGTTTGTCGACCTTTTTGGAAATTGTGCGAAGCGTACACATTATTTGGTCGGCTTCTTTTATTATTATGGTCGCGTCTGTCTTTGGTTTGTATAAAGGAGTTTGTAATCTATATATGTTTTTTTACACTGTGTTTGCATTGTTTCGGATTTTGGCAATTTTGTTGTGTTCTTTTTAAGGTCCAGATAATATTTTTAACAGTTTTCTTTGTCTTGAATTGTTGGAATCTTTATAATGGTATGTTGGTTTTCTCCTTGTACTTGTTCTGTAGCTGATGCATTGTGTTGGCTTGACCAACTCTTAGTTTTCCGTAATGTTTAGCATATGAAAGCATATATTTTTTTCTTTTGTTCCCATCGTTTTTGTTTTTTTAATTCGTCTTCTTTAATTGAGATCACTTCCGTTCCTATAAGCAAATTGACATTGCATATTTTATTAGCTCCATCACATATTGATGAAATAACATATACAAATATAACTAACGTCACAGTACCCAAATTGCACCTATTTAGCAAAAATAGCAGCGAAAATCTACAAGTTTTCTTAGGGACTGAGTAATTTGTATTTTTTCATTATTTTACATTATGCACGTCTTTCAAATAGGTAAATATTGTACAATTACTGTCTTTTGATGAGGTAAATGTGTGGTTTAATTGACTTTTGAAAAACTGATATTCACTGAGGCCAACGGCCGAAGTGAATGTCACTAGGTTTTTCAAAAGTCAATTAAACCACATATTAACCGAAACAAAAGACAGTAATTGTTTTATTCCATGTTCCGAGCGAGAAAAATATGTACAAAATAACAGTTATTTACCAAAACCAACTAAACGTCAAACATTGTATCGTTATAATACACGTAAAAGCACGCGACGTTTTGCGCGGTGAATATACTTTTTCCGCAGGTGAATATGCTTATTTATTCAAAATCCTATTCATATAGAAAAACCTATTAAAGTTCTATCAATATGGAATAATATACAATTACTGTCTTTTGATGAGGTAAATGTGTGGTTTTATTGACTTTTGAAAAACTGATATTCACTGAGGCCAACGGCCGAAGTGAATGTCACTAGGTTTTTCAAAAGTCAATTAAACCACATATTTACCGAAACAAAAGACAGTAATTGTTTTATTCCATGTTCCGAACGAGAAAAATATGTATAAAATAACAGTTATTTACCAAAACCAACTAAACGTCAAACATTGTATCGTTATTATACACGTAAAAGCACGCGACGTTTTGCGCGGTGAATATACTTTTTCCGCAGGTGAATATGCTTATTTATTCAAAATCCCATTCATATAGAAAAACCTACTAAAGTTCTATCAATATGGAATAAATTCAAATATTCACAAAACGTTCACAGTATATATCAACAGATGAAGTATTCACTGGAAAAAGTAAAATCTACGGAAATGTCGATGCGACGTCAACAAAAAGTCATCTTTTAAAAATTAGCAAATAAGATATGTTACGAGCATCCATTTCTTTAAAACAAA